GGGGGGGGGGGGGGGGGGGCTTGTTATCCCTCCTGGGGCTTACTCTGTGCTGGGCCCGGGAAGGTGGTGGGGAAGCTTTCACAGACACAGCTCCTCCAGCCGAGTTCGAGGCTCTGGAGATCTGGACAATGGGGACCCACCTGGACTGGGGGGGATCCTCTGAGTGCTGACCTGAGGGATGAGGAGGCTTAACCAAGCAGAGAGGGGGGGTGAGTTCCTGGCAGAGGCAACGGCATGTGCTGAGGCCCAGTGACAGGGGTGGCAGCAGGAAGGAGTTTGGTGGTCATCCTGAGACCACCAATTTAAGCCAGGTGACAAATGTTGCCATGTGGAAAACGGGGGGGGGCCACTCTTTGAAGGGCCTGGGGCTGTGCTGGCAGTGGGGTCTGCAGGTCTCTCTCAGGGGTGATGTGTTTGGATGTGAGGTGGCCTTGCAGGGGCATGATGCTGAGAGCCTGTTTCCTGGTGGTAAATTGGGTATGAACAGACCCTGCTGGAAGGGGCTGGGACCCAGAGGCTCTCCCAGGGCTCTTCAGTCCCCCCTCAGTTGGCCATGGTCTCAGATTCAGCTTAGTGGCTTGGTAGGCTTAGGCATCAGGCAGGATCACTTGGTCCTGAGGGGCCTGGGCAGAGGCTGCTGCACAGAGCAGCAGGCAGCCTGACTTTGACTGCAGGATCTGGGCCAGCTGCCCTCTGTGCCTCGGTTTCCTTGCTGGTCAACAGCAAGGGCCTTGGAGAGCACCCAGTCTGCTCACCAGGGCCCAGGGCAGAGGCCACCTGCCACAGGTCATGCTGCCCGACAGCCCAGAGGTCTGATTGGAGGCCTCAGGCCCTGGGGATGTCTCGTCACAGCCCCCAGTTGTGGACTGGGTCCTGGTCCCCCTGAGCTGCCACAGCTCGTCCCCCTCAGGGAGAACAGAGCCATCCCCATCTCTTCTCTGTCCCTGCCATGGCCCAAGCTACTGCCCAGCCAGTGGGAAAGTCTGAATCTGTTGCTACTTTCTGCCTGTCATCAGGGCCTTATCTGGCCTCTGTGTGCCACCCAGAGGCCAGGGTCTCTCTCCGGGCAGCATGGTGCCCCCCACCCACCTACTTCCCAGGCCAGTGAGGTGACCTATCTGCCAGCCTTGGGGTCTTTCACTTCTGCCTCCACTACCCTTCTCACCACCACCTCCCAGTGCCCCGCACCCCCCACCTCTTCCCCCAGCCCTCCATCCCCTCCCCCCAGTCTGTCCTTCATCCACTCTCACCCCCACCCCTAAGGGGAAGGTGGGACCCCTCCCTGGAGGGCTGAAACAGTGACAGCGGTTGCAGAAAAAACCGCAGGTCTGTGCCCAGCACCCCCCAGCACCGTCTGGCTGAATTCCACCCCAGCCCCTGACCAGAGACTGATTTCTCATCCCTGTTCTCCATGAGGAAACCAGGCTCAGGTATGTGTGGCTGGCCCCGGCCCAGCCTCAGTGTCCTGCTGTCCCCCTGCCTGTAGTGCTGTTCCCTGGCCCCAGCTGCTGTCAATCTCCTCCTCTGTCCATCCAGTTCTTCACCCACTTGCCAATTCTTCCAGGAAGCCTCCCCGATTGCCCCTCCACCTCTCCCCCCAGCCACGGCCACACGTGCATGTTTCTTTTTTTTTTTCTCGGGGAGGGTGGTGTTGGCTACCACTGGGTCTCCAGCGCCTAGTGCAGCGTTTGGCATACCCAAGGCTCCAGAAAGAGAAACCTATAGAAGGCACCCAGTATAACGGACAGGCATTCAGTAGGGAGTCATGGGTGAGGTCGGGCCTGAGCCAGGTGGGGAGATCACAGTCACCCCCATGCTACACAGGGGCTGCTTACACGGGGCTTACCCAAGGCCATGCAGCCAGGAGGGACAGTGGGGGCTTCACCATGAGCCTCGGGCTCCCTGTCCCGTGTGCCTTCTACACCCCACCTGGCAGGTCCACCCCGGAGGCCCATCTGGGGGCTTAGTTCCCTCCTTGGCAACCAGCTCCAGCTTTGCACGAGGCAGTCATTTCAAAGGAGCCACCACCCCCGCCCCCTACCTCACCATCAAAGCCAGGAGGGGCTTGTGCTAATCGTCGCCCGTGTGGGGACTGGGAAGGGAGTTGGGATCATCCACTGCACAGAGCCTGTCTCCGTAATTCAGTTTTAAAGCATGAAAAAAGGGAGTTGATGAAATCCCGCTATCAGCGCCAAGCCGATATGCAAAGTATCTCACCCCCAATCAAATAGCTATTATGTTTGCATTTCCATTTCGGCATCCGGCTTAATGAGCAGGAGACGGATGGGCGCACGGCCGTCTGCTTGCTGTGATAACCGAGGGGCTCCGGGCACTGTGGGGGCTGTGCCCAGCACTGCCCCGGCCACCAGTGACCACCGTCGTGGCCTGTGGATGCCCCAAGCAGGTGAGGACATGAGTACAGTCTTTCTGGCCCCGTCCAGGCAATGGAGCCAGTGGTGTCCTCTCTGCAGGTGGCCCCGGCCACCAGTGACCACCGTCGTGGCCTGTGGATGCCCCAAGCAGGTGAGGATGTGAGTACAGTCTTTCTGGCCCCGTCCAGGCAATGGAGCCAGTGGTGTCCTCTCTGCAGGTGGCTCTCGGGTGAGGGGAGCTGTGGGGGCCGCACCTGGTGCAGAGGAGGGCATGGCTGGAGCCCCATTGGGAAGGGTGGTAGGTGAGGCAGGCCTGGGGTCGTGCCCCGTGTTCCTGCCCACCACCACCCCTGCTCCCTAAGGGCCATGGGCAAATCATTCCACCTTGCTGGTTCTCAGTTTACTCATCTGTAAAGTGGGCATGATTGGGGCTTACCTCTGGGGGTGCTGAGACGTTCTTCGGTGGGTGGGATTCATATCATGACTGGCCTCGGGGTCCTGCCTCCCCCTCCGTCCCGCCCCACCCCCACACGAGGTGGCAATCACCACATCCCCCACTGCCCTTTCCCACTACACTTCCATGCACCCTAACTGGCTGCCCAGGATTGCACCCCTCTCCCCACACACACCTGCTCCACCGCCGCCTACACGCTGAGATCTGAGCCAGCGCCACCCGTCTCCACCTCAGTCTCTCCATCCAAAATGGGGATTGGAAGGCACTCTTGCTCAGCTACCTGGGTGAGGGAGGTTAAGAGAGGACGCCTGTAAAAGGCTGGCCCGTACACAGTCAGTGCTTAATAATAGCACATGCCCCTTTCCCCATTTCACATGTCCTGCCAGGCAGTGGGTGGTAACAGCCAGTGGTAATGGCAGTTAGGTTGGTTGGTCTGTGCTGGGCCCTGAGCTCAGCTCTGAAGGTACGGGTGAGCAATGCACTTCATCCTGTGAGGTGGGAGCTGCTGTGCTACCGTGTGTAGACAAGGAGTTCGAGCACAGAGAGGTGGAGTGACTTGCCTGAGGCCACACAGCAAAGATACCACATGCAGCAGCCTGCCTGGCTGTGGTTTGGCCTGGCCCAGCTGTTGGGGTCTCCAAGGAGAGAGAAGGTTCTCCAAAGGGGCTGGGGGTGGGGGGTAATCCTGACACAGGACATCTCAGAAAGCAGCAGCCTCTAGCCGTGGCTCCCAGATGCCCCAGCCAGTGGGGTCCCAGGTGCGTTGCAGACCGGGCTGGTGCCACTCAGGGGCTTCAGCAGGGTCAAGACCACGCACTTTCAAGGCACCAGGGCAGCCCAGGGCAGTATTCTCCTCGCCACACCCCATTTGTGGGCTCAGAGTGATTTGCTGGCTGGCGATTGTCTTCTGCATTATCGGCGCTGTTTTAATTGTGCTGGAACTGAAATCAGCCTGGCAGCTTTTCTCCACGCAATTCGTCTCGGCTTTGCACGGAGCGGGCGCCTTTGTTCTCCTGTAGATGGGAGGACCCCGCACAAGCTCGGGGCCTCCCTGGGTGTCTGAGGCCCACCAGGGAGGGGCATAGAGGGTTGGGGCTCCTGCCGGGGGGCCGCAACGGGTGTCACAGGGATGATCTGCTGGGTGCTCCCAGCATCAGCCTGGCTCCTATGCTGTGATCCCTGAAGTCCCTGAAAGCAGGTGGCCTTGTACCATCTGCCACAACAGGCACCTGAGGCCCTGAGGCCCTGCAGGTGCTTAGCAGGAGGGACCATAGCTCCAGGGCATCCCTTTCCAGCTCCAGATGAGCCACAGAAGGCACAAAGCCTTCTCTGAAGGGGCTGAAAAATGGCTGACCCACTGTCCCTGTGTGCTGCGTGCTGAGGCCGGTACCACCAAGAGCCTCCTGGCCTCACTGAAGGGCAGTGCCTGCTCAGGGCTGACCCCACAGGCGGGGAGCGGAGGCTGGCCTCACCACAGCTGCTGCCTTCCTGCCCTGGTGTATGCCAAGGGAGGTCACAGGGTCAGGCCTCCCGCCTATCCCAGGGGCACGAGTCAGACCGGTCTGGGGTGTGCCCGACCAGCCCCAGAGCCTGCCCGTGTGGGCACACTGATGAGAGACTGCGAGTCTTAGCCCGGGGCTGCTTCCTGTGTGGTCTGAGCCCAGTCACCCTCCTGTAATTACCACTCCAGGGTGTCCTGGGGAGACTGAAACTCATGGGTCCAGAGCTAGATGGCAGAAGCTACAGCTGGGAAAGTGATCCTGCCACACCCTGCCTGGGACACTCCATGGCTCCCCAGTGCCCCCAGATTTAGGATCCAGTCCTCCCCATGGCCCCTGAGGCTGGCGTGGCCAGACCCCCACCCTCCTTGGCCCCGACTCCCAACACACGCAGCCCTCCCTTCCTCCACCATCTCCCCCACCTTCCGGCCTTTGCACTAGCTGCCCCCACAGCTCCCCCCTTGTCTCTCTCCTTCTCTCTCAATGCACTTTCTCATTTGCTGTTGTTTTCAGTCTGTTGACTGTCTCTCCCCCTGGCCGGGCAGTCCCACACCACTGTACCCTGTGCACTACTGTGTCCTATGTCTGGCCCTCAGATGTCAGCAGAAGGCAGGAAAGGTGTCTGCCCCACCGGAAACAATGTAGTTGTGATTACACGAGCCAGCCTTAGGATCAGAGAGGTGCACTGAGATCCAAACCAACAGAAACCCAGTGTTCCCACCTCCCTGCTCCATAGACACTGCTAGAGTGTGGATGTCAGCCTGTCACGGTCCTGGTGGGTCTCTGTCCTGCTGGGCCAAACTGGCTTGTGGGCCAGCGCTGGGAGCTGGCTGGGTGCATGTTTGTTGCTGGCTGGGCAGGTGTTGTGGCATCAGCAGGCCCACCCTCAACTGCCCCCTCCCTCATCCACCACCCACCTGACCTCTGCCTTTCCCTAGTAAAACCCAGCAAAGGAGGAGACGGAGGGGCCAGGAGGATTTGGTGAGAAGTCCTCGAAACTGGGTCAGTTTTGGTCCCTCTGTGTGTTTTTCTGAGGGAAGCACTAGACTCATCAGATTCACAGAGGCATGGTTCCCAGACGATGCTCACCTGCTGCCCACCTTTGGGATGCTGCCACCTCGCCCTGCAATGCTCAGCCTTTTCTCTGGTGCTTTCTGGCCTCCAGCAAGCCCACTTGTCCCATCAGACACCTCCGGCGTGGGGGCTGGTAGCGTTGCCATGGTTTTCAGACTCTTGTTGTTCAGTGTGCTCTCCATGAAGGGCTTGGCCGCTGTGGGGTCCTGGCAGATGCCCGAGGCTCTGCCCCTCCCCCATGCTTCACACCAGACAGTGGGAGGTCATTTCCCTGTGAGCCGCGGCTGAGGGCCAGGTCAGCGGCTGCAGAGGATGAACTTGAGAAGGTAGTCAGGGTAGGAAGCTGCCCCAGGCCCAGCCCCTGCCTCCGGGCCCAGACCTGGAGTGGCCAGGGGCCGGGTGGGAGGGACAGCTGTTGGCTGCTGTCCCTCTGCTCACATAGTCAACACCACCTGTCTGATCTCCCAGTGAGGCTACCATCCTGACCCCTCTCAGGGGCACTCTGGGGGTCACCGAGGGGTCAGGAGGACCACCCCTCCCTTGAGCTGCATGGACCCGTCTCAGTCTGCCTTGTCACCTGTGCCCATGAGCATCTCTGAGGGAGGGCGGGCTGCCAGGGGCCCCAGCCCCACCGCAGACACCTATGCCTCATCAACCATTACTTCATCCAGCTGAGCTTCTGGTACCTCCTTTGTGCCAGGCCTGTGCTGGACCCTGAATTCACGCTTAGGGAGCTGAATGTGGGGGACACACACAGGGGTCGGGGACCCAGGGGAGGCTTCCTGGAGGAGGGGCGTGGGAGCAGGAGGTGGCAGCCTTTGGGGGCCGGGATGGGCACTGGCGCTCTGTGAACCCGGACATGTGCACCTGTGGGCGGGGGAGGGCTGGGCACTCATCCATCCCCAAGGAGAACCCAGCTCACAAGAGGTCCCCACACTGCTCCCGTGGCTTTGAGTGGGGGTGGGGGCCTATCCCCCGGTGCTGGGGACAGCGGGTGGATGGGAGGGAGTACAAGGAGGGGCTGGGACCCTCATCCTGACAAGAGCAAGTCCATGGGGCTGGTGGTCAGGGGCAGGCAGGGGGTGCGGGGGCTGGGGGGAGGAAAGACTCCTGGCCCCAGTGCCTGAGCCCCCACTCCTGCCCAGCTGCCAACTCCACCCGGGCACCTCATACATTCCTCTCGGGCTGTGTCCACAGGTTCCCTTGGAGACATGGAGGCCGGAGAGGAGGCCCAGGCCGTGGACACCAGCCTCTCAGAGCAGGAGCCCGTGGCACCAGAGCCTGAGGCCACAGGGGAGCCCGAGCCCCCAAGCCCTTCCAGCGCAGGTGAGTCAGGCTGAGCCCTCTGCTCACACTGCCCACATCCCCTGCCGCGGCCTCAGTTAACACACCTGTACAATGGGCATTGAGCTTGGAAATGTCTGTGCCAACTATGCCCAGCGGAGTCAGAAGAGGCCCAGGTGTCTTCCAGCCAGAGCCTGTCCCACTGAGGGCCTGAGGGGTGCTGTGGTAGCAAGAGAGAGGAGACCACATGAGTCCAGGAAGTTCAGCACTTTGTGGTACACATGGGGAGACTGAGGCCCAAATGGGGAAGGTCTAGCACAGGGTGAGACAGGGAATCGTACAGGCCACTGAGTGACCTTGGGAAAGCCACACTCCTCCTGGCCTCAGTTTGACTTATATGAACGGGGATGGTGGGGCCTCCCTCTTCCGGGGGTGTGGGGCCCACCCAGCAGGGGCCACTGAGAGCTGTGCTCGGCTCAGCACACAATGGGCATATCCTGCGAGGGTACCACACCCCATCTTGCAGATGAGGGAACGAGGCCGAGAGAGGTTAAGTGACTTGCCCAGGGTCACACAGCCCGCAAGCACCCACTTGGGAACTGACCCTGGTCTGGGTTCAGCTTGACGCACACATCCCTGTGCCTGCTGCTTGCCCACACCTCAGGCATCTCCAAACTCTCTGTGGACCCTCCTGGTGGCAGTCTGGAGGGGAATCAGGGCATTTCTCAAGGTGAGGACAGGCCTTGGAAGCAGACCTCACACCCTCCCAGGAAAGAATTCACCTGACATCAGGAGGCCTGCTCTGGCCAGGTGCACGCAGGGCTAAGGCAGCCTCTCAGGTCAGCTGTACCCCCAGACACCTTAGACACCCCTGGAGGAGAGGCCTCACTGAGATGGAGGCACCAGAGAGGTCAGCTCTCTCACCCCTGTTTTCCAGAGGAGGAAACTGAGTCTGGGACGGACAGCAGCAGGTTCATGGGCTGGGCTCTGCCTGGCTGTGAGTCTGGCTCACCTACCCCTGCCTCCCCTGCAGCTGCAGCAGTGATTTCACACCCACCCTGTACCCGAAACCCTTTGCACACAGAGTCCGCATTACCCCACAGCGTAGTCTGAGGGTGGAGATGTAGCCACAACCTGGGCCATTTGGGAGGCTGGTAAGTGGGTGAAGGAGAGATGGAGTGACAGGGAAGAACTCTCGGGAGAGGTTACATTGAGCAGAGACCCCAGGGACGTGTGGAGCCACCTGTGCTGTGCATGCCAAGGATGGGCGTGCCAGACAGTGGCAACAGCAAGTGCAAAGGCCCTGGGGTGGGATGGAGGGTGAACCGTGGAGAGGTTGTGGGGGCGGCTGGATGCCAAGCAGGGGCTGAGGAAGAGATCCCAGACAGACCTTTGTCCCTAGCAGAGGGGCAGGGGGTCCTTCTCACTGTGGACCCCTCACCCTCAGCATTTTCCACTCTGGGTATCAGGGACCCAGCTGGGATGGCCGCAGGCCCAGAGTCCCACAGGCCTCACCCCCAGACCCGGGCACACAAGCCTGCTGGCTCCTAGGCGCCTTCCCCAGTACAGGCTCTTGGGGTCCAGGGAAACAGGGTCAGGTGAAGGGACCCTGGGCCCACCTCTGGCTCATTGTGATTATTATCTTTGCCGTCATCATCATCGCGGTTGCTTAGTGGTATAGCCACAGGGACAGCCACTGGACAGCACACTAGCCTGTCCCCGAGGCCTGTGCTCTTAACACTCCCTAAGCCTCAGTTTCTACGTCTGTAAACTGGGTGTGAGCTCCTCAGGGTGGCTGTGAGGAGGGGCATGTGAGCAGTGTGGAGCACGGCTGCTATCGCCATCACCATCTTATTACCATTAGGGTAATGTCAGGCGGCCTGCCCACCAGAGTGAGCGCTAATGCAGGGGCCACGCCAAAGGGCAAGCAGCTCGGTGCTGGTGGACTTTGACCCTGGCCAGCTCTCCCGGGGAGCCAGGCCCCTTATCTGATTTGGGAGCTGGGGCTGCACAGGGGCGGGGGTGGGGCCAGGGAAGGAGCTGGAAAAAACAGTCAGGGTTGCACCTGGCACAGGCCCTGGTGATAACGTGGCGATGGGCGCGATAAGGCGGCGCGGGAGCAGTATCTGCTGCTCAGGCGGGTCCAGCGCGGCTCCCTCATGGTGGCTGGAGCTCAAGTGCCAGCCACTTTGATTTATAGCCAAAAATAATAGGACTTTTATACTGTGTGATTGATTTATTTGATGTTAATCACAGCCCTTATCGCGGGTATTAATAATCTGCTGGGTGCATGACGTCACCAAGGGGGGGCTTTATGGGAGCTCATCGATTGGGGACCGAGGTGGTTATCAGGCCTGGCTGGGAAGGCAAATATGCCCTTTGGGCTGGAATTGGGTGCGGGGCCTGGTGGAGGGGCCCCCAGCTGCCGGTGGAGGGACCAGGGAGCCGGAGGCCGTGCATGTGCCCACTGGCCTGGGCGTGCCTATAGGCCATCCTGTGCTCTAATTATTAACAGCAGCTGGAATAATAATTATTATTGCTACAATTAATGAGGGGGATGAGGGGTTTTAAAAGGCCAACAGGAAAATTGGGGTGTCTTCCCCCTCCTCCAATGAGAGCGAGCCAAGATGGTGGAGTAACTCTGGGCCTATATATGCCCACCGTGGGCCTCAGTCTCCCTCCCAGCTACAGGGAGGGGCGGCTTGGCTCCCAGAGGCTGGCAGTGTATGATGGTGTTCTCCTCTCTGCAGATCTTAATCTGCCCCCACCGCCACCACCCCCCACATCCCCAGGAGGCCCCGAGGAAATGGAGGGGCAGGAGCCAGAGACAAGGCCCAAGGAGGAGGAGGAGATGGGCAGCCCCTGGAACGGGCCAGGTAACCACACAGCGAATCGGGGTCCACAGCATCACCCATGCAGGGCAGCCCTGGAGCTGGGCCATTCTAGACACTCGGGTTGAGGAGACCCACTAGGCCCAGGCCTGTGCCTTTTCCAAAGCCCAGCAGGCCTGTGCATTTAAAGGATTCCCCAGAGGCAAGGTCTGACCTGGGTGGGGAAGGCATCCCAGGAGGTGGGAACAGCCAGAGCAAAGGCAGAGAGGTGGGTACAAGAGTCCGTGTCCAAACCGCCTGGGCCCTGGGGCCTTCCCAGCCAGGTTGGGCTGCCCAGAACTGCCCCAGGGCATCCTGGGTAGGTGCCCAGGCCTGTGCAGGGCCAGAGAGCACCACCCCCCAACTCCCGGGGTGGCTGCAGCCACATCCCAGACAGAAGTTGGCTCCAAATGTCCACCAGGCCTGGGCCGCAGGGATGTCTTCGGGGCAGTTTTGTGCACCCACCCGTCATCCCTGCTCTGCGATCTGCAACTGCAGCAGGACCTCAGAAGTCCCATGAGGAATTCTCTTGCAGCTGCCCCTTCAGGGACTACGTCACAATCCATGCATTTATGAACATAGGAAAGGCTGGACAGTCAGGTTGTTTCTGCCTTTCCTCATTAAATAGTGTGGCCCGAGGACTGGGGTGGCATTCCGGGCTGCTGCATGGAGGGTTGCCACCAGGGACACATGGGTGAGGGAGGCAGGCCAGGGAGAGATGGCATGGTCCTCAGTGGAGGGAGGAAGGGAGGGGAGGCGGGGCAGTCGGGCCAGGCACATGTGTGGACACCAAGCGTTCGCTGAGAGCCTCTGTGGACACCATACCTGCAGCCTCACAGAGCACACCTGCTGGCGTAATCATAAGCCAGGATCGTGTCTTTGGAGAAGCAAACAGAGAGAGGGCACATGGCAAGGGCTTCATCTTGCGAAGCGTCAGGGAAGGCAGAGAGACCCTCGTTCCTCCTCTGGGGTCCCATGGGGCCTAAATGGATAGGGCGACAGAGATGGTCTCCTGACTGGCCATGTGGACTGCTTGGAGGGATCCTAAGGCTTGGGAGAGGAGCGTGGTGATGGATTAGAGATGTCTGCATGGGTGCCGGAGTAGACATGATGGCACGTGTACCATGCGGTCCCCAATCATTTAACACAGCCATTCCCACAATAGGTGGGGGGGTCTATGGTCAGAGAGAGAGGGGCAGGCTTGGGTGGCCACAGCCGGGTTGGGGACCTAGCACCCTGGGGAAACTGAGTCCACTCACAGCCTCTCCCACCTGGAGGGGCGGAGGGGCTCCTGTGAGTGGAGTGTCCTCGGTAAGACAGCACTGGGACCTTGTGGCCACCGGTCCCTGGGGGCTCCCCTCTGTTACCCACAGGAAGAGAAATGGCACCCAGCACAGCACATGCTGTCCACCCTCCTCAGGGACCCCAGGCAGGGGAGGGGCCTGGCTGACCAGGCAGAAATGGAGCACTGCATGGGACAGCTGTGGGGCTGCATGTTGGGGTCTCAGTCAGGAAGCTACGTGTTCAAGGCCCCACGGCAAGTCGGGGCAACTGACACCAGCCTCGCAACTTCTGAGCGCCAGGTTTCACAGGGCCTTTCCACACACAGGACAGGGCCGTGGGGCCCAGCAGGAGCCCATGGCTAATCGCAGCCCTGCCTGGACTCCCTCTGGTTCCCCAGCTGTAGGATGGGGTAACAGCCAGAGTGCCCACAGGACCAGCTCAGCACTGCAGAGCCCCTGTGTGCCCTGTTCCTGATCCCACATTTTGTCAGTGGAAATGGCCTGCTGGGGATGGCAGGGACCACCTGTGCCTGTGGGACCCCAATTGGGGACCGCCAGGCAGTACCCACAGCAGCCCTGCAAGGCCAGTGCAATGGTGACTCCCACTCTGTGGAAGAAGATACCCCGGCACAGGGTGCTGAAGGGACACACCCAGGGCTACCCGCTGGGAACTGGCAGAGTGGGGTCTGGCCCACACTGGCCTCAGAGCTGTGCCCACATTTACGAACGTTGGCTTTGAGCCTCGTTCCAGTTGGTCCCTATCCACCCTGCCGTGTTTGCATCCCCGTCCCCACTTTTTGTATGCAGAAAGCGACCCCCCAGGGAGGGGAGCCTGACCCCCATGAGGGCTCAGCCCCAGAGGCACCATGGTTTGGAGCTGGGGTGCAGCCCCAGGGCTTCCTGTGCTATTTGCATCCCAGGCCTGGGAGGCACCCCTCAGCTCCCACAGATATGACTTTCTGTGCAGTGGGTAGCGATGCGCCGATAAGTGGCTGCTGGCCAACCGCCACCGCGGCCACCGCCTATCAGGCCCCACGCAGGCCGCACTTATCGCCTGGCTGGGGAAGCCGGGGAGGCTCCATGGGCTCTTATCTCTTAGGGGCTGCCCGTGCGGGCGATGGGGTGTCAGTGCTTCACCAGGGCCAGCAGCATCAGTGGCCCCCAGCGCGTTGTCCAGCCTAGTGCCTGAGGGCCGCAGCAGGGGCTCAGCCACCTTCACCCTGCAGGTCCCATGGGCTCTTGTGGCTTTCTAGGGCTCTCCATCCTCTGTCCCGTGGACACTGTCTGTGCCGCTGGGTCTGGTGTGAGCGCCTCCCTCCCTCCCTCTCCCCCTCACATCTCTCCCTCCCTCTCTGAGTCTGTTTCTTCATCTTTGGCCAGCAGCTACTTTGCACCCCCATCCCCATCCCCAGTGCACCTGCACCATCTGGTTAGGGGATATGACTGGGCCCTGAGCCTCGGTTTCCCATCTGTCCTGCGTGAGCATGGGACAACCTCCTCCTCACCTTTCTAGCCGCCATCTGCTGGCTGGACCGGGGCTCGTGGTGTCCTGGCACCACCATCCCCACCCCGGTCAGACCCATCTCCCAGGGAGGGCAGTTGAGACCTCACTGGGTGCCCAGAAGGTGGGCAGCATCAGCCCAGTGGAGCGGCCCGGCCTAGTGCCTCTCCCTACACCTCACAGTGGGCGCAACGAGGCTGCCCTGCCTCCTGTGCTCAAGGCCCCAGGCAGGTGGCTGTGAAACCCCCAGGAGGCACTCACCTGGCACCAGGCAGAAGGGAGGCCTCCCAGTCCCTTCCTGCTCCCCAGGGGCATCTAGGAGCCCCGACACATGCTGCAAATGCAGATGGGGTCTGGATGTGCAAGCATTCTGTAAATGCTAGAGTGCTGCTCCCGGGGCGTGCAAGTGGTCTCGCCAATGTCTGCCATTCTCTCTTGCCCTGTTACTGCCCCCACCCCAGCTCCCTCCTGTTCCTACCTGATCCTGGTGCCCAGAGCTCCAAAAAGAGACTGAGGAGGTGCTCTGTGGGTGTTTGGAACTTTTCAAAAGCGCTGCACCTTGTCAGGTGCTGGTGACTTTGTGTTTGAGTGTTGCTGCTTCAAACGGGAGCACCTGAGCTGTTCTAAGAGGCAGGAACACAGACCCTGGAGCCCCCACTTTGCTGAACCACCGCAGGCAGGCCGCCCGACCTCTCTTGGCTTCAGTTTCTTCATCAGTAAAATGAAGATGAGGGTTGTATGAAGGTCACAGAGAGCAGAGCTTGGCGCCCCAGGACAGCTGGTTCCTCTGGGACTGGGGTGAGGGTGTGAGCAGTTAACAGGGAGAAGCTGCTGTCTGAGGCGTGGGAACTCCCCTCTAGCGGCTGAGAGGACCCGCATCCACGCCTTGGGCCAAGCAACTTAGCCATGGAGCAGGGAGAAGCACCTTTTGCTCCCCTGTGGGTGGCGGTCATCTCAACTTCACAGGCAGGACAAACTGACCCCACAGAGCCCATCACCCACCCAGACCAAGGAGGCTCTGAGTAAGGAGGCCAGCTGAGCAGTGACATGGCAGGTGGCCTCGGGGATGGCAGCAGCCCCACTTCAAGGTGAGGTGAGGGCTGGAGCAGAGAAGCCACAGAGGGTCAGGCAGAGCCACACAGAGGGAGAGCTGGAGGCCGCCAGCTGGCTGTGGCGTGTGCCTGGGAGCCTCGTGTTTCAGCAATGGCTCATAAAACAGGCCGAACCCGCCCTCGGAGCTCAAAACAAAACCAGCAGGTGAACTACAACGTACAGGAGAAAGTGATGATTCAGAGAGAAGGGTGACCCCAGGGGGCTTCCAGGGCAAGAAGGGGCCAGCAGTCAGAAGGGCCACGTGGGTGTGGGCAGGTGGGTGCCTGGTAGAGGATGCAGCCTGTGCGAACGCTCCGAGCAGAGTGGACAGGTGCAGTGGGAGGTGGGTTGGGGGGATCTGGTGTAGTGGGTCCCGTGGACTTTGGCTTGACTGGAGGGGGCCATGACCTGACGTGGACCCACAGGGAGGGCTGAGCAGGGGGCTCACCTCCAGACCTGTGTGAGCCACAGTCCCCTCAGCCAGACCCAGGGCTGAGGGGAGGTGGGCGTTAGGCTCTGGGGGCTGTACTTGCCCGGCCCGTCCCTCATCTTTCCTTGAGCCACCAGCCCAAATTCAAATTTGCCGGAAGGGAGAGAGCTCCACATTTTTACCTTTGAAACGACCTTGTCCACTGGAGGGGCTGGCCATTTAAAATTCTGATATGCAAATGAATAAGAGCTATGATCTCTGATCCCCTACGCTTCTGTGCTGCCTGTGCTCAGCTCGGCCACCTCACTGTCTACACGTCACAGGCTCCAGTGTCCCAGTACCCTCCATGTCCCACTTCCCTCCCTTCCCACCTCCCTACCTAAAGTCCAGAAAAAGGAGGCAGTCAGGTTGACACACCAGCCCCCCTCAGGATGTGGAGGGTTGGAGCTCTGGGGTCCTATCTGACTCTGTGAGAGTCCCAGGCCATCACGCCTCATGTCTCCTGTTTGGTTATCTGTCAAGGGTAGCTTGTGTTCCCTTGGTCTGCCTGTCTGGGTCATAAGAAAACAGACGAAGGGAGGGCTGAAGCATGCAGGGGTCTAGGGGCCTCTTCTGCAGCCAGGACTTGGGTGTGGGGTCTCCCCCTGGGAGCCCTCCAGGGCCAGCCTCGGGGGAGACAGCATGGTGCTAACACCCAGGG